AGTCAAGTCAAGTCAAGTCAAGTCACAAGTCTAAGTCGAAATTTCATAGACTGTAATTCAGATTTTGTGGGATGCTCTTTCGATTTCCATTGCAGGCGCTTGCGCTGGCCGCAAAGATTGAGAAGGACCTCGTGAGCCTGGACAGCTTGGAGAGAATGTTCGAGGCGTTGGCAACAGAACGGGAGGACAAGTCCGAGCTCCTGAAGAAAGCCAGTGCCTTGATCATCGAGTGTGCCTTGTGTCAGGCCTTGATCAAAGGGACAGGGGACGCTGCTGCCATGAGAGGGTTGCGCCAGGCCTGCAGCAATGTGGGGTATTGGCGTGGTGTTGAAGAGACCGACATTCACCAGGCGATTTACACCGAAGCCCGTGCGAAGCTTGTGTGACTTTGAGCCCCAGGGCCCTAGGACCTAGGACCCTAGGACCCCCGCCTCCGGGCGCCAAATTCTACTCTACTTTTAAACACGATGCCCTACGACACGAGCAAAGCTCGGTTCTGGCTGATTCTGGTTTCGGTGATGGAGTCGCCGAAGCCCGCTGCCGGCACGAGGCTCCAGGCCCCCCTTTGCCAGGCTCAAACTAACTAGCTCAAACCTTATAATAGCAGCGACCACGTCATTGTAAAGCCCATAGCCACAGCCTGGCTTCATAGCCATTGTCATAATCCTGTCCCCCTCTAGTCCTATGACCTGCAATGTAAGCCTTCAAGCCCGGTGTGTATGCCGGCAACCCTAAGCCCTAAGCCCTAAGCCCTAGGCCCTAAGCCGTAAGCCTTAAGCCCCTAGGCCCTAACCCTATAAGCCTTAAGGCCCTAAGTCCTAGGACCCTTATCCTACCTTTCCTACTACATCCCACCGGCCACTCGAATCCCTGGCTACGCCTGCCGCCAGCAGCTTCTTGTCTTCTTACTAGCGGCCTAGCGCCCGTCACCACTGCTGAGAATCCCAGCGCGAAAACGAAGACGAGACGGATGTGCTGATCCGCATGGAGCAGTCCCCCCAGGATCAGGGATCATGGTGATAATTCTGTTGCTCACGATTGTTGCTGCTGATGAAGACTATATGATAACGGCTGATCTGATGTTTGACCTGGTGATGATGATGTCGGTGATGATGCTGGCACTAGTCACGCTAGTCACGAGCTGTCACTAGCTGCTGACGACGATGATGGCTATGGCGACGGTGACAATGATGGTGACCGTAATGATGAGGATGATGAGGATGAGGATGATGCTGACGGTGACGGTGATGACAATGGTGACGTGATGCTGGGGGTGGTTTCCCTGGTGGTATGATGTGATCCATATGGTGTTGATGACTGTTGATGACTCGTGACGATGATGCATGCTTGCATGTGGCTTTCGAGCATAGGTATTTACTCGTATAGACCGTAAGCCTTAAACCTCAACAGAATAGCCAAACTTGCATAAGTAATCACAGGTTGCAGGCCCGACAGCAAGAAGCTCCGGGCTTTCCGGGATTAAGGCCCCTAGGCCTGAGGGCTTACGGCTTACGGCCTAAGAACTTCATAGAACTTCGAAGTTTCGAGTTTTGAAGGATTGTGGAAGTAGAAAAGCATAGTTAGGGGGAGTGGGCAGCAGTTGCACCTGTCCCTGTGCAAGTACTGCTTTGGGGAAAGCTTCCTACTGGGTCATATTGTTAAAGCTGCTAAAATTTGCTAAAGTAGATGCTGCAGCTAAAATGCTAAAGACCCATCCCGGAATCCTGGAAGGTTTATGTAGATTCAGGCAGTGAGAGCGCTGAAATAACATTGTGACCGTAACTAGACTCAACTAGACTTAGGCAGCCGGCTCCCAAACCTATCTAAGTCTGGCTTTCTGCTGAGTCCGCATCGTCGCATGGTATCGGTAAGTGCTGGCAAACTGTGGCTGCTGCTCCACCGCTACTCCTATTCTTTTCTAAAGCTAGCCCCTGCCACTGGCAATCCAATAGCTATATACAAAACGCTTTTTCAAAACGCACTTGCCCGAGGAAACGCTTCCAAAACGCTTTTTCGAAACGCTTTAGAAATGCTTTGGAAACGCTTTTTAATTATTTCGGTACATTCCAATCCAAGGCTGCTTCAGAACCTTACAACCCTAACTCTAAGCCCAAACCTCGGGCCCTTGTAATAAGGCCTCGTCGCTGTTTTGGGATGCGCCGTGTACGCCACCAGGAGATCAAGTCTCAGGAACCCCCTCTGAAACCGTGTCTTTTTAAAGGATCATGGGACTTAGTAAGCAGGGTTATAACTAAGGTAACTATACTTATAACCCCAATTGGCGGACTTATAACCTTACTTACTAAGTCCCATGATCCTGCAAGTAAGCACAATAATCAACATACTCATAACAATAACAATAAACAGCAGCAAGCACAATAACAATAACAACTTACTTAGTTCCATGATCCTACAAAGTAAAGCCCCTCATCACCTCCCAAGCCGGTCAACTTTATACCTTCATCCGCGGCCCAAACACTCACAACCTTAAACACCAAACGCTCGACCCGAGGGGTTTAGGGTTCAGGGTTTAAGGGTTGAGGGGTTTAGGGTTCAGGGTTTAAGGGTTCAGGGTTTAAGGGTTTAGGGGTTGAGGGGTTTAGGGGTTTAGGGTTTAGGGTCTTTGGGGTTGAGGTGTCTAGGTGTTTAGGATTTAGGGTCTTAGGGGTTTAGGGGTTGAGGGTCTTAGGGGTTTAGGGGTTTCGGGTCTTGGGGGTTTAGGGGTTTAGGGTCTTAGGGTTTAGGGGTTCAGGGGTTTAGGGTCTTAGGGGTCTTAGGGGTTTAGGGGTTTCGGGTTTAGGGGTTAAGGGTTTAGGGTTGAGGGGTTAGGGGTTTTGGGTTTAGGGGTTGAGGGGTTTAGGGGTTTAGGGTTGAGGGGTTGAGGGGTTAGGGGTTTAGGATCGAGGGGTTTAGTTCAGGGTTTGCGGCTTGGGGGGATTCTAGTTTCGGGGTTGAGAGGTTCAGGGTTTAGGGGCTTCAGGTTTAGTTTAGGCTTTCCGGCTTTAGGGGATTTTAGTTTAGGGGTCTAGGGGTTAGGGATTAGGGGTTTAGGGTTTAGTTTAGGGTTTACGGCTTTAGGGGATTTTAGTTCCGGGTTTACGGCGTTTGTCGGGATTACGGCTTTACTCCGTTTAGTTTCGGGTTTACGGCGTTACGGGTTTTGGTTTCCGGTTTACGGCTTTAGGGGTTTAGTTTCGGGTTTACGGCTTTAGGGGTTTAGGTTGGGTGTTGGGCTTGGTTTAAGCTTACGGCTCCCTGACGGAAATCCTACGAGCCTATATAGACACTGATCCCCCAACTACGATTGGGTTTAGGGTTGAGGGCTTGGGGCTGTTTAGGGTTTAGGGTTTAGGGTTGAGGGCTTGGGGCTGAGGTGCTGTAGGGTGAGGACTTTAGGGTGGAGGATTGGGCGGTGGAGGTGCGGCTTGAGGATTAACGGGGCTGAAAACTGTATTGGGCCACAGTAACGATAAAAAAGCAAAGCCCAAAATCGTGGCAACCATTATGTGAAAGGCGACCGCAATAGTCCTAGTTCTCAAAGCAGGAATATAATAGTAATACTGTTTTCTCAATACCATAAACTCTGACCCAAAAACCTTAGCACCCTTTCTGGAACCCATAACGGAGCCCCCCACCTTCAAAGCAAAACTTTAGGCTGAAGCATAAACCCTAAACCCTAAGCCCTAAACTTTAAAAAACCCTAAACCCTAAAAAACCCTAACCCTAAACCCTAAGCC